TCATAAGGAACTAGGCCTACTGTACTGATACGTACATGTGGTGCATGTCCCATCTGTGACAATTAGGTCAGCTTAAGGAGGTTATCAGTGTAGGGAGGTGGTCAGCTATGGAGGGTCTACTGTATTTTTTTTTAATAAAAAATTCAAATTGGTGCTTTGGTTCAGTTTAATTTGTGCCAGTGATCCTCATTCCCACACAGATCATAGCAAGATAACCACTGGATCTTAAAATTACAAATCTCTTTCAGTGTTTCTTTGTAACTGGTGAAACTGTGGTACCTTTTTTCTGGATTTTGTTTTAGATCATATTTAAGGTGTTTCAAAAGACTGTTTTTGCATCATCTCAGAATAAAATCTTTAAAACATGCCTTCCCCAGTTAATGGTTAAAAGACACTGTATTCAGCTATCTCTGTTGTATCTTCTCTAATCCAGGGTTTCCACTGAATGTCTTGTGTCTTCTGCCCCAGCTGATTCAGCATTTTGAAAATCCCAATCAGTTCTGTAAGGATGTAGCCGAAAGGATTGCTCAGGTATGAGTTACGGTTCTAAACTTCAGGCAGATCTGTTCAAGCCATCAGGAAGGCACAATGTCAGACAGAAATTATCAGGCCTAGAGAAGGCAATGCTTTTCTCAAAAACTGGAAATAATAAGTGATATCACCAGTAATGTGCATCTATGAGTGGCTAATGGAAATTGTCCTATTTGCTTTCATGACTGAGAAAACAGGTAGAAAGAATTTGTGAAAATTATATTAGCCAAGCTAAGCACTTCTGTAGCTACCAAAAAGTGTATCACTCTAATTTCTAGACTGCCAGAACTTACATTGAAATTGCTAACATTTGTTTCTTCTTTGGGTTATGTTATCCTTAATTTTTTTTTTAAGCAAGAAAAGGAAGGTTTGGCTCGGTGCCTGTGGCTCAAGTGGCTAAGGCGCCAGCCACATACACCTAAGGTGGCGGGTTCGAATCCAGCCCGGGCCCACCAAACGACAATGATGGCTGCAACCAAAAAAATAGCCAGGCGCTGTGGTAGGCGCCTGTAAGTCCCAGCTACTTGGGAGGCAGAGGCAGGAGACTTGCTTGAGCCCAGGAGTTAGAGGTTGCTGTGAGCTGTGATGCCACGACACTCTACCCAGGGTGACAGCTTGAGGCTCTGTCTCAAAAAAAAAAGAAAAGGAAGGTTTATTAACTACTATACACAACTTTGAGGGCTACCAGCTGCTTCTTATCAATCTAAAATGTTGGGTGCCTGGGTCCTCACTTCTTGGAGTGCTCTTGGTCAGAAAATGAATAGACACCCCAAAGTAAGGCAAACATGAGACAAAGTTTATTGAGAAGAAGAAAGATAGGTTTATAGGGTAAGAGCAAGGGGCTCCCATTGTCACAGCAAAGAAATGGCACATAGGCCCCTAATTGATTTTCTTATATTAAAAGGTTTGTTTGGAAGAGAAGAACCCCAAACTGTCAAATCTTGCACACGTTATGACTCTTTATAAAACGCACAGCTACACAAGGGACTGTGCCACGTGGGTCAACGTGGTTTGCCGATACCTTCATGAAGCGTATGCTGA